TGAGTAACAACCTCTGCGCCCAGTGCCAGAAAGACTTTAAAAACTGTTTCTGGAGTAAACTCACTAATTAAACTAAGCAAAATCTGGCCTAGAAATAAAATATACATACCTAATATTTACATATCTATACAATGATTTAGTAGCTAGCATGATACTCTCCCAAGGTGATCAATACACACCCCTAAATTGTCTGCTGTATCTGAAACTCAACCTTTTGCCTTTCCTATCAGTGAACATCTATGCCTCTTTGCACCTTTGCCCCAGCAAGACAAACAGAACATCTTTTCATCAGCAAGCACAAGCTCCTGGAACTCTGAAGGGCTAAATGGTAGTTGGCACCTCATTTGAATTCATCTTTATCATGTTCCCTTTCAAATGTTTTATCGAAACAGTGCACCTGCAGCGTCTATCTTCTTTAATCTGGAGTCCTTTGAAGAAAATGTCAGAATGAGGCAGAGAGCTTCAAAACTTTCATAGCACCTTCACAGACAAGTCAAGAAAAAGCTTATTTTTAAAAATACTATGTTCACTCATATCTCAAAATGCACATATCTAAGAATATCAAATACAAACACATGGAAAAGACTGGTGTTTTGGTTTTGGTAAACTCTCAGAGACTGGGGACAAATGCACTAAAATCACCTTCTTTAACCTGAGAAATTTGGAAAAACTTGAAACTAGACAGATATATTGCCTAAAATTATCAAGAAGCTGTGTCACCTTGCTTCACATATTAAGGCAGTAAAACCTTCCAAATTACCAGATTTTGGTTCATCTCACCCTCTTCACACTCAAATTAAATTTTACACACAATATTTGAAGAGAGCAGTATTCTTTTTATAAATTTTCATTTCATACTTCAGCACACTTGCACCACAAAACAAAGGAAGCTAGTCCAAAATACCAAGAAGCCTAAAGAAAAATCTAAAAGGGACTAACACTGCCAAACATTCATACTGGTGCTAGTTTAATTTTCTCTTTTAAAAATGTGAGCACATTTTGCATTTCCTAGACAGCAAACACGTCTTCGTGTCCCTTAAGCTGTACAACTAGCCATGTTCTTTTCCAGGAATCTAGTTGGAAAACCTTTTAAAGTCTGCTGGCAATGAAGGGATTAAAACCTGAGGAATTAAATAACTGTCTCCACCTCCTAGACACCAGAAGTCCAATTTCCCAAAAGTTTCAAAGGAACAACTCATGACCTCCCTACCCGTGGACGGCTCGGCATAGCCTATGAGAAAGGAGCCCGCGATTTCCTCATTTAAACGAGGATGCTCATTTTAATCACTTGCCGGGAGAAGATCGCCCGACCGACAACCTGGCGGGATTTTGGAACTGGCTTGCTCCAAATCCGCCAAATTTCGCTCTCTCCTCCCTCTGCCGCACAGATCGGGTGCTTTCTAAACTCACGTCCCTAGTCTTTTATGCCCATTTCCAGTTACTCATCCCTGTAGCCGAGAGCGATGCCCACACGCCTTCCCGGCGGCTTCTCCGCCAGGGTTTGGGGGGGATGCGGCCATAAAGTTCCACGTGCCTCTTTCCAGAGAGCGCCCTCCCTCCCACCGCACTTACACCTGAACTTGTCTCCAGCACTGCGGACACCCGGCTGCCACATTCTTTCGGGGAGGGAGGGCAAGATTTTTGTCCTGCGCCTCTGGCAACGCGTGGAGTCTATATATGGTGGGGCGAGGGGGGCGCGGAATTCTCTACTTTGGATTGGTTTGTTTGTTTTAAATCCAGAGTGGGCAGTTGGGGAGGGGGTGTTCAGCAACTACACGCACATACACACACACACACCCTCGCCCTGCCCTCGGATCACGGCCGGCGCGTCCCGGCC